ATCAAACGGGAATAAAGTAGACTTATATGTGGCTTTCTACATTAAACAATTACAAAAGAACGACTTGGTTTTTGTGAAGGGCCATTAGCTTGATTCTCTTTATGCTACTTAATTTGATTTATAATTAATAGTGCATGTGATGCCTCAAACTCTAATCCTAAAGCCATTCATAATGAACAGTTAGCCCACATATTTAACAGCTCATTTTAAGTGTCATAATTATATTGACAGCCCATATGGATTTCCCTCGTCGTTTTTCAGGATCCATAGTTGGAAGAAGAAGAGAAGGGTAAATTGTAAATAAAATAATGTGATCTATGGTCTAAACTCAACTGCGAAATGAAGTAGTCTCTTAAGAGAATGTACCACTTAATTTACACTGCGTTCCTGATTTTTTTTTTTCAATTAAATCCTTTACTTTGTTATTCTTTTTCTTGAATTTATCTTCATTGATCGTGTTTAGTTCAACAAGTAACGAATAAAATAACTTTGCTTTCAAAGCTTAAATTCAATTTGATTAATATTTGCAAACTTTGGCAAGCAATATACATGTTTCTAAATTATTTAATTATTGTATATTTTAGTCAGAACGTAATCGGGAGTTGGGGGTGGTTGTTGTTTTCTTACCATATACATGAGAACCAAATCATAACAGTTTGCCAACATTTGACAGATAATTAATAAAATATTTAGAGAATACGAAGTAGCAATCTTCTTACGTGTGAAAAGTAATGGCAAATTCGAATTTGTTAAGGTTACAGATGTGGCTCATAATGCGTTGAACTTGGTCAATCTTAGTACTCTTCATATTCATATCAAATTTAGATAATTCCTATGAAGATCTTTGTTACTTTAAACAGCCACAGGGTTTACATTACAACAGGATTACTGCAGCCGTACGTACTGATGCATATTTGTCTTTATTCATGCATGATATTAATGTATAGAATAGTCGTTAAACTTTATACTAATGTTTATATGATGATGTAACGGATCTTACTATATGTAAGGAAAATCAAACTTATTTTCTTATGTTTTAATTTGTATAACAAACAGATAATATCGAATTAGTTCAAATTTAAAATACTATCATTTTTACTTTACTTTTTGAACCCTTGCAACTAAATATTGGCAACAGTGCTTGCAGTAGGATGATTCAAATTACACGATTTAAGATTATGACAGGTTAACATTTTCGATTGAGATGAGAAATAAGTAAAATCAATACATGGTCTTCCCAAAATTAGGAATATCATATTAATATTAAAAGAATTCTATCAACAAATTAAAGTGTACGTCACATCAGTTTTATGTTTACAAATGTCGAAAATGTTAATGCAAAACGATAAATTTAGCATTTTTTATTTGTAAAATATTAATTTGATAGTGAATATTTTAAAGAATCAATGTAATATTATCCAATTCGTTATGTATTTCTAATTAGCTAGTTAAGTTACAAAAATGGGAACTAGCTAGAATGCAAGCAAACGTGGGAAAAAAATTGAATAACAAGGAGGGTTATCCTTTTCTGTTTTTTAAATTAATTAGTCAATGATTTTGATAATTTAGTTGGTATGCTATTTTTCTTCAATGGTGAGAAATTTAATACATTTCATTTCATCCAATAACAACCATTATTAATTTAATAAAAAAATTGACTTTATTTTTTGTTGTATAGCATTATTCTCTCCTATAATATAATGGGTGATAAGGGACAATTGCGACCAGCAGAGTTCAATATGCAGTTTAATTTTGTTGGAATAAGACCACATGCAGTTCGAGAAACCTAGAATAGTATCATCATATGATCTAAGAATCTAAATTTTTTAAACACACACAAAGTGATGCGAATGTAATAATTTATGTTAGTTTTGGAGCATGGTTTTTTTTTTTTTTTTTTTTTTTTCGATCCCTTCCATTGAAAAATGGCAGCCACCACTGTTAGAAGATTGTGGGGAAGGCTTTATTAGGTTGGTACTATCTCTGCCAAATAAATATTTAGGTATTTCTTCTACTTTTTTATACTGCATTAATTTTATTTTATTCAAATATTATTATTTAAAACTAATAATTAATTTACATTTTTATATCTTTTTTAATAAATAATATTTATTTAACATAAATACTAAATAAGTAAGATACTAATTTAATATAATAAGTAAAGAGTATAATAAAAAGTAAAATAATTTTTTATAAAATTTAAGATACTAATTTTTTAAATTTTTATGCAAAATTTTAAACGTTAAAGAAAAAATAGAGAAATATAATTGCTTTAATTTATTAGAAGGATTTTTCTTTTGGGTCCAATAATTTTTTAGAAGCTTAACTTGAAAGGTTTGACAAACGAGTTCGAGTTGATAAGAACTTGGCCTTTGGAGTTTTGAATGCTTGAGTTGGAGATCAATTTTCAACGGCTCTTCTCTCTCTCTCTCTCTCTATATATATATATATATATATATATATTATTAAGTATTCATGTTTTGAATGATTTTGTTTTCGGCCCTTAAATCCAATTATTCTGTCAACGTTAATTTTTCTTATTTTATTACTGATTTTTACCATACTGGGCCTCCAGCAAACAAACCCATGTTTGTAAGAAAGCATTTTCTTAAAGTAAAAATAAATAAACAGAGAAAATAAAGAGAAAGGAGAAAAGGAAAAGAAACTAAATTTTGTTATTCTATTTAAAATGTGCTTCACACTTAGTTTTACAATATTTGAATTCAAAGCCATATTTGTCAGTCATAAACTATTTTAAATTTTGTAATAGAAAGTGTTAAAATTGGAATTGGGAAGTGTGAAAGTGCAAAAAGATGAGTAGGACTTTATTCTGAAACTTCCTGGTTGGAACCAAGTTGGCCATGCTGCGGGGTTCAACAAACATGCATGGTCCCATATTTCATATTTGGTATATCTTTCAATTTCAATGTCTCTTGGCTCTTTTTAATTGGAACTACTTAAGGCTGGTTTAGATTTGTGTAACTCTTTGGCTCTTAAGCAGAAAGATTCAAAGCAAACAAAGTGGTGGGGGCTATGAAAGAAGAAGGGTTATCGCTTATTGGATATACATTTAATGACAAAGATATTAATTAGAATAATAAGAAGGAAAAGAGCTGAAAGCAAGATAAAGAACACTTTCCCTTTCACTACACTCCATATTCTCCCTCCACCACTACAAATAAAAAATGAAATAAAAACAAATAGTATTTGAACTTTGCCAAAAAAATTGAATGCATTATCACTTTCCTTTCCTTTAATTTCGAGTCCCATAGATCAAATATTGCAATATGTATCTTCGTCCAACTTAATTAAATTAACCCTTTATTGAAATATTTAATAGACATTTGTGGGTATGATATGGTCTCGTGTCAGATAGCCAAATAGGTAGAGCTGGTTCTCGTAAAGCATAAGTTGGCATGTTAGTCATTTGTCATTTTCTTTTTGCCTTTCTATAATTTTAATAATAATCGAAGCTTATCTCTATGCATGTTGGGTTGTCCTCATTATATAAATAATATTCCAGGCTGTATATACCTTGCATATAAAAATTTGGGTCTTAAGTTGTGTTGATCAATCGAAAACAATTTTGAGCACTTCATGGAGCCATATCATTTTTGATTTTATATCTTTTCCCTTTGCATATCATTTTGGAAAAGTTCATTTAAAACGGCCTGATTTATATATATTCTTAAAATAATATATTAACAGGAGTTAATTTTAGAAAAAGGAATTAGTTTCTCATAAAGATAAGAATTGTTATTTAAATTTTTTTTATTATTAAAAAATCAGCCACGTTTTTTATTCGACCATGCATTAAGTAAGATTTTTTAATAAAAATACTAATAAATAACTAAAAAATTACTTAAAAGAATATAATAATAAAATATTGCACGTAAGTTCACTTTTGTTTAATGTCCAATTGAGGCTTTTAAGAAACTACTAACATTTGGTCCATATTCTAATTACAAACAGCCCACTAAAAAATTAATTAGGCCCAAGTTTAAATCGTAGTTTTTTTCTTGAATCTAATTAAAATTCTAGTGAAACAAGAGTTTTTCCAAACAAAAATCATTTTCATCCTTTATTTTTACGCAAAATGTGGGTTAAAAATCAGACAAGAAATACATATTTAGTTACAAAAAAATTGACGAATCAATCAAGTCATTAATTTGAATTTCTCAAAGTTGGTCAATCAAAAGATTGATGAAAATCCAATTACACCGGTTGAAAACCCGTAAAAATCATGGTCAAAATACATTAAAACTAGGTTTGTATTTTATTTAATGTAAAACATTTTTTAAAATAAATAGAAGTATATATACATTTATAGTGTGTCGGTGTTTATTGTCAACGTTTTTATTTTTTGTAACATAATATAAATTTGTATATTAATTTAAAATTTTACAGAACTTAATATTTTATAAATACATTAAGATATATGGTGTTAAAAATATACATACAAGTTGCTAATTTAATTATTATTGAATCAATAATTATGAATCGATATGCCGGTTGAATATTAGTTACATTTTTATATCATTGACATAAACAGTGCTATTTTATTCATGAGATAATCTCCTTTTTTTCCCCTTGTAAAAGAAAACAGGTATTGAAAATCAGAGAGATTTTTTATATACATTTAATGTGCATAAATTGTATAGATTAAATCAATATTAAATATTTATGACTTTTTGAGGCCTCAAGCTTGCCAAGGTGGGGGGGGGGGGGGACAGGGTTGGTTGTGTATACAAAATTTCAAGCTTACTATTTACTTTTCTTAAAAAATTATTGTAATTATTTATATGATTTTTTCAACTTATTGATCTTTAAAGCATTGCTCAATTTTGAAAAACAATTTATTTACATTTTATTTTTCTTGCATCTAATTTTTACTCACATTTTTTTTTCTCTTCTTTTTAAATCACATTACTTTCTCACGCCTAACATACACCCCTTAATTGGGTTGGGTGTCAAGTTTCGAAAGACCTGCATGTGATTTTCTCCTCTTGTATAAACATCTTTCCATGTCGTAATAACAACCTTGCATGTGAATTTGAACTTCACCAATGTACAAGTACTTCCTTTTTAGAAATAAAAAAGGATCCAAAGATGAAAGAATAAAATAGCACTTACCGACCAACTTTTATTTCATGAACTTACATATACATCAAAGGAGGGGAGGGGAGGGTTGTTAAGTTTTAGACATCCTTGTACAGTAACTGGTATTTCGGTACACGTTCAGGCGGGAGAGGACAATTCACAATAAGCTTTCCCTTCATTGCTCCTCGAAATATTGCCTGCAGGAATGTAAAAACAGTTTCATGAATACTGATAATAAATAATACCTGGAAGCAAACATTTCCAGATATCCACCAAAAACTGGTAATTCGTAAACTGTTAAGAGAATTTTACAAATGATATAATAATTAAACCAGAAACAAGAGAATTCTATTAGGATACTGAAATTTAAATGTTGTGGACAACTTTCTCTCCTCTCCTACTCTAGTGGGTTTGTTTGGTCTAAAACTTCACTGTTATTATTATTAGTTTTTTAAATATTTTTTTCATCTTAAATGAAGGGGTGGCTCTATTCAATCTCAGGTAAGGAATCCAACGTATTGAAGGGTTTAGAATGAAAGGGAACAAAAAAGTGATTTATAATAGCATTTAGAACAAAAATATCTCCTGGGCTTCACGTTGCAGTTAAACAAGTTCGAACACCAAAAGAGGGTAAAGTTATGTAGAAGCTAACCTAGCGCCAAATAAATGAACTTCAGATATACAATTATACATCATCTAATCCAATCATCAAGTCAAGGGAGAGAAACGACATGGGATTGGCGGAAAAACAAAAAACATCAAATACTCAAATATTGAAATTAATTCACAAAATGCGAAGACCACTGAAAACAAATGGCAGTACTCACACAAGCAAGCAAGTCATTTTGAAACATTCTTCATTTTTCCCACTATCTACAAGGGAATGCTATCTATATGTCTTCTCAGATTAAAACAAGCTATCATACAAGGATGCTTTCTCATTAAAAAACTTCAAATGTGCCAGACTAAAACAGTTAATGAAAAATAGTAACTAACTATTTTTCCATTACCTGCCAGACTAAAACACATTTTACTTCGTAATCTTGCTGGGCTGCCATATGGTTGTCATCTATTACTACTTTTAACAATAAATTTAGTGCTCAATAGTAAATAATTAGCAGTTAATTTCTAATCATTCCAACTAGATCTTTATCCACATGAATAATGTTATTAGTGCAGCAAACAAGGATATATACCTCTACAACATCTATGAAGTCTTGCTTTCTGTGAAAAGCACCAATCCATTTAGTATGATCCGCAGTCCTAAATACAATAGCAAAAATGTCAATAAACTTGCACTCTAAATTTACTGATATGAGTCATAATACAAGATAAATATAGCTAAAGGATTGAGAGGAAAGATATCTGTTTTTGCAAAACTGCAATGACAACATCACAACACTTTACCACAAGAATTCTAATTCAACTTACAGAATAAGAGATTACAAAATACAAAAAGCAGTAGTACTACATAAACTCTTTAGAAAATGACATTTAACTGGACTCCAAAGATAGTGAGAATTTTCATAGATACAAGTGTAACATTTTATATTATTATTGGATTGCAACATTTCATTTAGACCGCAATCCCAAACTTTACTACACTTCGTATAGTTGCAACTTGCACAAGCAATTCTGAATTGTAAGACTTTTACCCCACCTAACCCAAGCATTTGGGTGATATTAATTCAGATTGCATTTATCAGCATAAACATAAAACTCTTTAATCTAGACAGCAAGCTCACCTGGCTTAATAATAAAAATAAGCCCACTTATGCCCCCAACACATGGAATGGTCAAATTTTATATACACTGAATAGTATGTGAAAAGAAGCTAGAAGAGAAAAGATCCTTTACAGTTTTTAAACCTTCTATTGGCAAAAGTTTTCATATCTTATTCTCAAGTTCTCATTGCAGCAAGATCTCAATTAAATGAGCATACTAGTGGGCTATATAACAACCAAAAAGTACATGCCTATTCTGGAACTTGCTATGCATATTGTTAAGAAACTTGGACCTAACTTCCTATAAGGAGTATTCTAGCTCAATTCCTAACCAATGTAGGACATCTTAAGACATATAACATGTCAAGCTACAAATGAGGCATAGTTCATAACATTTATAGATTCTTTTAGTAGGAATACTATCACAGATTCAAAGGGAAATAAGTCAAATAATAATAAAGAAAAATAGAGAACAAATCCCCTTTTCAAAATATGGAAGTCATTTACTAGTTTCTAACAATACTTTTCAATGGGAATCATAACTACAAGTAAAATCTCTGGCAATATCTACCACTTATACAAACATAATGAAATGACCAGAATTAAACCAAAACAGGATGTGAGAAATTGAAGACAAAAGACAATGGAGCAGAGACCACCAACCCAGAATCCATTTTCATGTGATGGGCATTGAAGAAAAACACTGTAGATGGTATCAAAGTGATGTCAAAATACTTGACATAGACTTGAATATCCTCAGAGTCAACATCAACCAGTGCCACAGTTGCAAACTTGGACACATCCCTTGCTGCTTTAGAAAGCTGTATCAACAATGCACACAACAAACAAAAGCAAATGATCATGGGAAAGTATAAAATTAAAAAATAAGTAATAAAAAAATGATTTTGATTTTGAAAAAAAAAACCAATAAATTGAAATGCAAGAGAAACAGATGATGAATGAAAATCATACAATTTGATCGAGCTGGAGACAGACAGGGTCAGAGGCACGACCAAAGCGGAGGACGAGGACCTTATCAATGGTGTCCCTGATGATGGAATCCACCTCTATCTTCTTTGACAATGTTGTTAACAGGTAATTCATTCTCCTTCACCACAATTTTTGAACATCAAATTCAAATACACCACACTTTGATAAGTTAGTTTATCTTGATTGATAAATACGAAACCTAGGTTTTCCAAGTATCACCGAAAATTACAACAATGAAAGAAAAGGATTAATAACCAGTCTTGCTGGATGAAATTACATCAACACAACTTCAACAGGCTCAAACAAGACGATGGTATCCTGTATACCTGAGTAGCGACATAATCAGTCGAACAATTTTGTTTTAAGTTTAAGCACTGTTTGTTTTTAAGGAAAAGAGGAGATGAAGGGATTTTAACAGAAAGAAGGGGAGTTATTTTGACCAAGAAAATGTATTTAGTCCATAAGGAAAGAAGAGAGAAGCGAAATAAATAAAAATAAATTTATTATTAGTCTAAGTTTTTCTCCCCTCTCAAATTCTATAATTTTAAGGGAGATAAAATTAAATGATGACAGATTTTATCTCCTTTCTCATTCCTTAAATTTTTTTATCAAAAAATTAAAAAAATTATAAATATTCTTCCCATCTCCTTCTCTTCAAAATTTTATAAAATTTCTTGCCCTCCCTTCATTTTTCCCTCTTACTAAACACTACTTCAAACTTGTGTATGGGGACTCTCTTTAGCATCCAAAAGTAGAGAGGAGTTAAGATCCTCTCCATTTTCTTCTCTCAATTTTCTTGTCCATTTCTTCATTCAACCATTAAAGTTATTACAATACAAATTTTATTTTATAATTATTAATACTTCAAAAAAAATTAAATGACTGGGATTTCGTCTATTTATGGGACAATACATTCTGACTAGAAAGTAATTGGGACATTGTTAGCCCTATTGGTACATAAGTCAATCTAAACTTGTGCATCAAACTGTCAGATCTATCCCAACAAATGTTATCATATATTTTTAAAAAAATTATATATACATTACGAAAAAATAGAAAAATGATTAACTCAAATCAATAGTTCCAACAAGAAAAACTGCCTTAATTTAAGAAGTAAAATGCAAGTTTGAATAAAACAATGGTTAATTTAAAACTATCTCCAAAATATTTCAGATTTATAACTAACATTCAACAAGGAAACTTGGAAATTTTACGACTAATATAATGTTACTCTGGCCCATGACAAAGCCTTAGGTTAATATCAAAGTCTAGTAAAGTATAATATTGATATGATTACAGTCACGATAAATCTAAAAGATTGATTCAACCACTGTAACATTTTCGTTTTCAACCCCACAAAGTGCAATGCATGAAAGGCAAACTATCTGATGTTACCTTAGATAAAAAGAGAAGAATAAGTATAGCGTAAAAGAGAGGAAAAAATTTACCTTAGTACCAAACTATCACATGTAGAATTGAAGCCAAGGAACTATTTCACATCCACATTAAGCCAAAGGTCTGCATATAATCGTTATTATAATTTAAGCCAAAGAAAACCAATGAGCTTGCAATAATGAAAAGTGTAGACCCTAATGGAATCGAAACTGAGAATCAACGGATTTGCACAAACATACACTTCTAAGACACTTTAGACCAACTTGATTTGCACAAACCAATCAAATTCATAATCAGGAACAAATAAAAAAACCCGTTCAAACTATGTCGAAGTCATTCCTCAACCCATTCCGTCAAGGCACATGAAAAACACAAGAATTAAACTGAATTGTGTGTCAAAACCTAACCACACACAACGCATATTTATAATTTTCTACTAAATGAACAATGGCTTGGAAATTTTCCCAAAATGAGGACCATCGAAGAAATAGAGCAAGCCAAACTAAAATTCAAACATGATTATAACAAAAAGAACACACAAAATAAAAGTGGCTGATCTGAATCGCTTCTATTCACGAGCTCTGCTTGTGCATGAATCGAAGTGGCTTCCGATTAAAGGTTCTTATCCTGAATCTTGAGCATGTAAAAAACTCTTGACCAATATTCTGATTCCACGTTCAATTCAATATAAAGTGCGAAGATATTGATTCTTGAGAGTGATCAGGGCAAAGTTACGTTAATGTGAGCAAGAGTGCAAAGGGAAAGGGTTAGCCACCCTCGCCAAAACAAAAGCAACCGTTTCAAGTAAAATATATATAACATTTTAATTTGTATTTAAATTCTAACTAGGTAATTTGTGACACTTAATATTTTAATTTTAAAAGTCCAATATGTTTAAACAAACACTAATAACTGAACATCAAATAAACGAACCAAAAGATGAGAAAAAGTTATGAGAAATTTGTTGCTTATCGTTAGAAAGAACAAACAAACTTGTTTTTGGGTTCAAAAGAAAGAAAAAACCAGAATCAAGGAAACCAAACATGGTAGTAATTGGCAACGATGCTCAAACAAAACAAGTATAGAAACATGATGTTTTTTTTTGGTCGTGGAAACATGTTGATTTTGACCAATCCTAAAAGATATATTAGTAACGTCCTAAGTGTTTTGGACTTGCCTAACAGGCCCAGATTCAACGTTTAATTGGGCCAAATTGAGCATGAAGTCCGAGTTACACTTTTAGTGGATCAGGTCAATAATTAACCTCAGGCTTAAATGACATGCACTCAATATCAGTTAGCATTCCATAATCTTTTACCTTTTTCTCTCTACTTCATCGGTTGGTCGAATCTCAACATGCATCGACGTGAACTAGTGTCACCAAATTGCGACTCTTACACTCGAATTATATTACTGGAGGGAGCGCACCATCGCAATATTATAAGCATCCTTTTCATCCTACTTCCTACTGTTACTCTTGAAAAAAAATATCTTTATGTTGTCGGGTATCAAACTTTTATTTTATATCATGAAAAATAAATTTAAAATAAATAAGTTTACTTTGTCTCACTGGTAGAGATGAATATTTATGTATAAAAGTAAAAAAAATGAGTCATTAGAGTGAGAAAATAAATACTTTTGCAATGTTTTATAAGTAATTTAAAAAAATCTGCAATTTTAAAGTTATTCAATGGTAGATAAAAAATTTGATAATAGTTTTAAGGCAGTTAGATTGTTGAAACGAGATTTGTGATGTAATTAATAATGTTTATATAATAACTCTATTTTTTTAGTATTTTTATCTTTTTAATTATCAATTTATAAGCTTTACCGTTGATTTAATTGACTAGTTGTAACAGTTTGTTTGTATACTTGTTTGTCTTTGTTTGATGATAATAAAAAAAATCTCTTTGATATGATATGAACTACTAATAGCTTTTATGAAATTTTCATATTAAATAACTTTGTATTTATTTCTTATTCGATCATTGTTATTCATTATTGCATATTTATATTGAAATGTCCTCGAATGCTATATCTATGATCGGACACTTTCCCACAACCATTAATCCACCATCCAAGTGGAGCAGCACTGTACAGGAGACAATAACTCTCATATCAACCATCAACCAGTCAGCTCAGCTTATACCCCACATCAATTAACACCATATTAGCTTGCAGTAAATTAGAACTCACTCCGTACTCCTCAATGCTTGGCAACCACAAATAAGAGAGATGGGGCATTGCAACATAACTTGAAAAGAAATATGATCAATCATGAAGTTACTTTAAGCTCTCGTAACATTTTACTATGAAATAACATGTTGATAATACTTCTTATCTCATATAGTAATAATGTTTAAATATTTCACATTTGCTAACTTTATAGGTAAAATATTTTTCATAAAACTCGAATAAACCGATTCTTTTAAGGTAAAATGTTTTATATTAGCTAAGAACAGATTCAAAATATTTCTTTAATTTAGTTCAAAATTAGTAACTTATAGAAATTAACAACCTTTGTAAATAATAATTTTTGAATCCGAACATTTTTAAAAGTGTTTACAAAAGTATTTTTAAAAGAGAATGTTTTTAGGGTTTTCTTTTATCATGTTTATTGGTTTTTTTTTTATATTATGTAATTTTTGTTAATTCAATGTTAATTTAAAGGCTTTTTTACACAAATAAATTAAAAAATATTATTATTCCCTAATATCCTGAAAAAAAAATACCTAAATATCCTAAAAGTACATATAATAAAAGTCGATTTAAATTCACTTTTATTATAGGTTTATTTTTTTACATAGAAGTCGATTTAAATTGACATTTATTCTACTTTTGAAAATTTTATACGCAGAAGTTGATTTAAATTGACTTCTATTTTATTTTAAAATTTTTTATATAAAAATTAATTTAATTCAAATTTTATTCTGGTTTCAAATTTTGTTTATATATGAATCAATTTAAATTAAATTTCACTCACACATGAATATATTTTAGAAAAAAGTCAATTATAATTAACTTTGTAATGTATAATTAAAGTTAATTAGAAAGAAGTATATTATAAATGAATAAAAATTTGTCATTTGAAGATGAAAAAATTTTGAAATTCAAATGACAAATTTTTGAAATTAAGTGTGAAAATTAGAGTAAGATGAAAACATTCATTAGCAATTTGCTTTACACCTCTATTCTTAAACCTTACATAAATTTTGATACAATGACACAATATGCTGCATACAATATGCATGTGCTGAAGGAATGTCACTCATTTCTTGTATCTTCTAAAGTTAATTTGATTGTATGATAACTATATGGGACGTTTAATAAACAATCCCTTATGTGAACACTAAAATTTTGATTTAAAAAAAAATCTGAATTTTAATATTATAAAAGAAGAATGGAATCAAAAGGTTTTAAAGAAAAAAACAAAAATTTATCTTAATAAAATAGAAAAATTTCAAAATTAATTTTTAAAAGGAAAATAGAATATGACAAATAATCAAACTCTTGAACCAATGTTACTTTATACATAAAAAAGGAAAAATTCAGATTTTTTTTTGCCTTTTGTGAAAATCCTAACAATAAAAGGAAAAAAAGAACCATGGAGCGAAGAGGACATCAAAGGAGGCTAAAATTTTTTTGAGAGGAGGCATTCTAAAACTTGGAGAGAAAAAGAGAAAATATAGAGAAAGAAAGGTTAGTGGAAAGGAGGAAGAACAAGAGACAAGCAAAAATTTTCAAAAACGTCAAGTAAGCTTCATCATACATTTTATACATTTTTTTTTTCATACATATTCATATTTTGAATAAACATTTCCTATATCAAATCAATCCCAAATGACAAAAAAAAAAAAGGTTTCAAACCACCACTTCAAACATCTATGTCTCACCATCTCTCCACCCATTCCTCCATCTATCATCATCCACAAACACAAAACTCACCATAAAAAACTCTTTCCCTACCTTGTCTCATTCATCTTTCTTTTGCTCTCAATAACCTTCACCATTCAAAACCATGGCCTCCATTAACTTCACCTCCACCCTTTCATAACTTTTTTTTTGTTTTTCTTGGAGAAAAGCACACCCCTAACCCTAAAGTCCTTCCCTCTCAAATCTGAAAATTTAAAATTTGGGACCATTTTATCCTTTTTTTTATTTTTTATTATTTTTTTGTCCAAATTTTTTATTTATTTTATTTTTATCATTATTTAGTTCAACATATAATTTATTGTTTTAGTTTTATTTATTTATTCATCATTATTATTTGTTATTATGATAATTATTAATTTATTTAATAAATGAGTTCTTATTATTTTTTTTTATTTTTTTATGTTAACCTTGTTTAAATTATTTTATTTTATTTTATTTATTTAAAATCTCTTGATACCGTTTACTTTACAATATCATATTTGAGTTGACTTTTTTTTATCTCATTTTAACATTAACAAAAAATTATTTCCTTTTTTATATTTCATTATTTATATCTTACTTTTTAGGATTGTTATCTTTTATTTTATTTATTGTATATTTGTATCATATTAATGCGATTTAATTTTATATTTATGATTACTTTATCTTATATTGTGAATACTAAATTACTTATTTTTTTATAATTAATTAATAAATAATAATATAATTGTATCAATTTATAATACTAACATATAGCTTCTCTATCATCATGTATTATAAATTGATAAAGTCTATGTGTACCTACGTTACCAAGACTTTATGCAATATTAATTTATCACATATTGTCATTAATTAATTAGTTAATCACTTTAATAATAATGCAAGATGTATTTCTCTTCTAAATACTAACTTACAAATCAATCAACTAATTTAAATTTAAATTGTTTTATTAAGAAATAATTTATAATGCTAATGTGTAGCGACTCTACTTTTATGCGTTATAAATTATCAAAATCTATGTGTACCAACGTTACCTTAGGTTTTATATAATATAAATCTATCAAATAAAATTTTTAATGTTTTTCATTAAATGAGTATCTTCTTTAATCAATTCAAATAAAATTATTTTTTATTAAAATAGAATCAATTTCATATTTTAAATTTTCTTAAGTTATATTTCAAATTTTGATAAATTAAATTACTATAATTTCTTTATTTTATAAATTTTTATAATATCGATGTGTAATTTATATTGCCTTCGATAGTCTAATAAATTATAAGAGGTTTATGTATAGCTTACGCTATCTTAAATTTCTTTCAATATTAATCATAATCAAAATTAAAATTCAAATACTCTATTTATGAATAAAATATTTTTTAACGATTTGCAGTGTGATCTTCCTTCACTTTCTGTATTGTTTTCTCGTAGGGTACATGTATAACTGCATTATCTTGTATCCTAAACATTATAATTTTACGAAAATGATTTTAATTTTAAAATAATTTTTTCTTTTACTAAACTTAATTATAATAAACTAATTTCATAATTTTTAAATAGAACTACGTGACTTTGAGTTCTCCATTGCACCCAGGGATACGTAGGAGCGAGAACCGAACCCGTCAAGTCAAAATAATTTTTAAAATAACCCAAATAATATTTCAATAAATAATATTTCTTCTTCTAAAATGAAATAATTAATATTTAGGGGTTAAATAAATGTTTTTTTTTCAAAATTAGAATGAATTTGCACAATTAATTTTAGGTAACCATTTTTAAATGGAAGTTGTAGGGTGCTAATACCTTCCCTACACGTAAATGACTCCCGAACTCATTTTTGGTTTCAAAGATTGTATTATATTTAAGTTTTTCCAAGGTTTTTCTTAAAATAAACTTTGGTGGCGACTCCTTTGATATATTTGAAAACGTTTTTCGCCGTACCGTTGCGATCGCCGGTTGCAACACCTTAGCTTAAGTTCTCGGAGATACCCAACTAGGAGCGAAGAAGGCTGAGGCAAAGACGGAGCTGCTTTGGAAGCGTAACGCAAGCAAAAGATAAGCCAAAAGCTGCATAAGTAAGTATATAACCTACAGAAAAGTGGGCTAGTCCAACCAATCTTGCTTGTATAATGGAAAGAGCCACTGATTTATCTCTCCATCGAATCAAATTAGCCAAAGGTGTGCGTTCATGAGCCCATGCTAAAGTTTCAATCAATTCCTGCCAATATCCGCGCCAGGAGATTAAGAACATAAACCCAGTAGCCCAAATAAGATGTCCAAATAAGAACATCCACGCCTAGACTGATAAACTATTCATGCCAAAAGGGTTATATCCATTGATAAGTTGTGATGAATTTTACCATAGATAATCTCTTAACCATCCCATCAAACGTGAAGTAGAGGGATCCTATCCTAACGGATAAGTTGCTCCCTCCCCTAAGTAACTACCACTACCCGGTCTTCTCTTTTAATTGATAGCTTTCGCTGGAGCACTTGTCTTCGTGATAAATCCCTTGAGCTTTTATTATCTTTTTTCTTATTCTTGCTAGTTGTCGACTGTATGATTTCCTGTCTCGCTCTTGTTGAACTCCAGCCCTATCCCTATTATGCAATTAAATTAGCTCTAGAAGCTACAAGGAACTAGTGACATCTTTTCAGCATATCATGCATATTGTGTGCAACACATTGTGTCATTGTATCAAAATTTATTGTAAAGTTTAAGAACAAAGGTGCAAAGCGATTGCTAATGAATGTTATCATCTGACTCTAATTTTCACACTTAATTTCAAAATTTTCTCATTTTCAAATGGCAAATTTTTATTTATTTATAATAAACTTCTTTTTAATCAACTTTAATTATATATTACAAAGTTAATTATAATCAATTTCTTTTTAAAACATATTCATGTGTGAGTGAAAGTTAATTTAAATTGACTCATGTGTAAACAAAATTTGAAACCAGAATGAAAATTGAATTAAATTATTTTTTATATAAAAAATTTAAAAATAAAATAAAAGTCAATTTAAATAAACTTCTGTGTAAAAAATTTTTAAAAGCAGAATGAAAGTCAATTTAAATTGACTTCTTGTGTAAAAAGTTTCAAAAGCAAAATGGAAGCCAATTTAAAACGACTTTTATGAAAAAAAAATTAAACCTATAACAGAAGTTGATTTGTGTAAAAATTTTCAAAACAAAAACAAAAATTGATTTTATCGATTTCTATTATATGTACTTTTAGGATATTTATGTAATTTTTTAAAAGAATATTTAAGAAATAATAATTTTTTAATTTATTTGTGTAAAAAACCCTAATTTAAACTTCAAAAGTTTTCACATGTTTGTAGTTTTATTTAATATAAAATAGCATATGTTATTAATAATATAATATTTTTAAAATTTTAAAAATATTCATATAATATCTTTTAATTATTTATTTTTAAAAAATTAATAATGCATATGTGGTTCTAAAAAAATTACTAATTTTAACTAAAAAAAATATTAGAAAAAATTTAAGCACGTTTTATATTTTAGAAACGTGTTTGAATCGCTTTTAACTTATTATATAAATGCAAATGGACCTAAAGACTTGGTACCCATATTATTTTGAAATCTTGATAGTTACACCATTCTACTTATAGGACAAAATTCAAAGTTTCAATAAATACTTCTACCCGTATAATTAATAATATTCACATGATAAGAGTCTTATTTTTTATTTGTGACAATTATTTTTATTTGGTAAATTTTACCTAAATTTTATTTAAAAATAAAAAAAATATATATAAGAATTTTTTTTACTTTCATTTAACTTACATCTAACATGTTATAATTTATTATTTTATTTGATGTTAGATATAAGTTAAAAAAGAGAGTCAAATTAAGTGTAAGAATTTTTAGACTTAATGTAAGAAGGTCATGCCGCTATATATATATATATATATATATATAATATTTCATAAATTTTAACTTTTTATGTATTTTAAAAGTTTATAAAAAATGGGCCTTTTTAGTCCTGTTTAATATTAAAAAAATTATAAACTTTTAATATATTAAAAATGAATGGGTCACAAATGTACTTTTTTTTTTTATATTTTACAAATAAGAAACAAGTCACTCAAATAAATACGTATTCAAGGTCTTGAAGATATAAAATAAAAATTTTTAAAAAATAAAAATAGAAAAATCATATGACTACATAGAAAAAATATTGTGTCCTTTTTTTTTTGCCTAATAAGATGATCATGTCAGAAAATTCAAAATTATGAAATAACGCTTATAAATATTTTTCATAGAATAAATAACATTTGAAAAAATTTAACTCGTCAAACTAATCTTAACTGATGAATCCACGTCCGTGGAAGGACCATCGTTGATTTTTCGTATCCCTTGCAATATTTCTTTAGAGACACTCAGTTAATGACAAAAGATGACGTCCAACTGTTTTTTGTGTGTGGATATCGTTAATTTATATTTTATGTGAGGATGCTCCAACTCTTGAGGTCACATCTTGTACAACTTATATAACTACAAATAATATACATTAAATGGATAAAGATTTAATAATTTTTAAAATGTATTTATTTTAAAATAATATTTGTATTATATAGTGTTAAAAAATTAGTTAAATGTCAATAATCATTATATATTAATAATAATATATTTAAGAGATAAAATTCTTAAAAGTAAACTATAGATTTAAGAAATAAAAAATTTAAGATATTTTTATAAATGTAAAAATAAATATTTATAAAAAATATAAAAAAATTGTATAAATTAATAAAAAAATTAATAATAACTTTAATCTCTAAAATATAAAATAGAATTAACAAAGGTAACAAAGGTACTGATTAAAAAGTAAAATCGTTGCATAAAAAGAAATTACAGTTCACATATTATTTCTAATCAATTTTAATTTAAGATATAATGTTGTATGAAAAAACTAACTTCATTAATGATTTATTTTTTAAGTATTAGGCTATAAAAATGTAGCTCCACTAATTTTATTTTTTTTTCTTTTAGTAAACGGAGCTAAAAAACTCAAAGACAACAAAGACTTAAAAAACACATCTAGGATGCCATGAACTTAAAATATATAGATTTAAGAAAGAATATAAGGAAGGGGGAGCTTCATCAAAGCAATAAAAAGACATTCCACAACCAACTCCAACTTTAGCAAGTCAATCAGCACATTGATTGACTTTTCTAAGAACATGACTAAATCTAATAAAGTAAATACCTTTCAACAAGATCTTAATCTCTCTAATTATATAAAATAGAGGGTGATTACAATTAGAAAAATTAATAACAAGGGAGATAGTCTCATTTGAATCACTCTCAATCCAGATTATCTAAAAATTCTTTAGGACAACAAGCTTAATTCTCCAATAAATTTTTCAAAGTTCAGTCGCAAGAGGAAGATAAGGATCCAAGGCACCATAAAATTCAGCAAAGAGTCTACCATGACGGTCACGAATAAAGCCACCACATCCAGCAAACCCAGCACTTAATATAAAAGTATTTGGTTCTATAATATAAAAATAGATATATAAAATATTAAACTTAAATATTTAAATCATTTAATATTTTTTTTATAAATATAAAATTAATCAATCTAATTATTGAATTATCTTATATTATTTTTTAATTATATATATTAAATTTTATATAATTTAAATATTTATAAAAATTTTATTAAAAATTAAATATTTATTTAATTGTAAAAACATATTACTCATTAAAATAAATTAATTTTATGTTTTTTTATTTTACACCATTTAATAATATTTTATAAACTATAAAATTGATCAATTCAACTATTTAATCATCTTATATCATTTTTGTGATAATGTATATTAAATTTTATATAATTTGAATATTTGTAAATATGTTATTTATAAATTAATATTACTTATCTTTTAAAATATATTACCCATTAAAATAAAGTATTACAATACAAGTGCTTGTTAATTTTATTTTAGAGAGAGAGAGAGTCAAATTAGTTAATAACATGTGTCAAACTTATTTTACATTTTATAAAATTTAATTAAGTGAGATAAAAATTATATTAGAATAGTATTAATAATATTTTTTAGTAAAAATATAGTTTAAATATTTTTTTATAAAATAAAAGAGTATTATAAAATATTTTTTATTTTAAATATTTGTTAAATTAATAAAATATGGCAAATTTATCTATCATGTGGCGTTGTCATGTCATTCGGTTAGTTTTTGATCATGTACAAAAAAAATAATTAAAAATAAAACAATGTGATAGTATAAAATGATATATTTGCTTTAGTTTAAATTTAATTTATCATTATATTAAAATGATATTTTTTAAAAATTTAATATCTGCTTTTAAACATGACTTATATTTTGAATATAAAATTTATATGTCCTAATAAAAGCTTACTCCTCCTATTTTTTAAAATATTTTATTTCATTTTTTAAATAATAATTTTATAATTTTAAAATAAAATTATTTTATAATTTTATCCTTAAAATAATTGTTATCTTGTGCTCTTTATAAGTCATGCTTTCTATTGGTTTTTACTTAATTTCTTTCTTTCTTTGTTATCTGCTTTTCTTTCTTTGATGGTCTCGGTAATCATCTTTCATATATACAAATTCTAAAAAAATAAATAAATTAAAGATTTTGATTAAATAGAAATACTTTTTATAAGTTATTTTTTATTATGTTGAGTACTAATTTTTTTGCAATATTTTTTAATTTAATAAATTTAAATTTACTTTTTATTTTAATTGTTTATTGTACAAATAAATTCTAAAATAAGTATAATTTTTTATAATATTTTTAATAAAAATAAGATGATTAAATTCATTTCTTAGTTTTTGTTAGTTTTAAAATAACTATTTTTGAAAGACGGCCGGAGACTGAGAGAACTAATTTTAACTTTTAACCAAAGCTCTATGAACTTAGTACATCTTTATGAACATAGCAAGTCGAACTCATTATGTGTATAAATAAACATAGTGAACCCAGCTACTACCCTCGTTCACAAGTATCAAAAACTAGTACCATGGCTACCCAGAAATCATTTTCTCTACTCTTAGTCACATTCACAACTTTGCTTCTTTTGTTAGCAAGAAATGTGAACTCCGCAAAAGTCCTTTCCTTCAATTTCACCAAATTCACCACAGGCTCATCAAGCATAACCCTCCAAGGCAATGCCGAGATTTTAGCCAATGGGGTGTTGGCACTGACCAGCCATACAAATTCTGCCACAAACATAGGTCGTGCCTTGTACACAACACCAGTTACCATATGGGACGAAACCACTGGCAACGTTGCAAGCTTTGTGAGTTCCATCTCTTTGGTCTTACGTGACATCCAAGGTTTTATGGAAGCTGATGGAGTTGTCTTCTTTCTTGCTCCTTCAGACACTGTCATTCCCAACAATTCATCTGGTGGGAAACTCGGAATTGTCGATCACGGCTACGCTTTCAATAATTTCGTGGGTGTAGAGCTTGATAATTATGTAAATGATTGGGATCCTAATTATCCGCATATTGGAATTGATGTCAACTCTTTAATTTCGTTGAAGACCGTAAAATTCAATAGGGTGAGTGGATCTTTGGTCAAAGTTAGCATAATCTATGACTCTCTTTCTAAGACGTTGAGTGTTTCCGTGACTTACGAGAACAATCGTATTGCTACCGTTTCTCAAGTGGTGGATTTGAAAGCTGTGCTCCCCTCAAGGGTAAGGGTTGGTCTATCTGCTTCCACGTCATCTGGTGGCGCTCAGTTACACGATATTCATTCATGGTCTTTCACTTCCAACTTAGAGACAACTGTCAGCAGTGTCATGGAGAATGTGAATATTGCTAGCTATGCATAATTTGGTCTACTTGTATTGTATGTGTCAAGTGTCTACCTTTTGCTCACCGTATTTCTAAATAAAGACCATGCGAGCCTTGTTTATATATGTGCCACTTGAATTGAAGTTTTGGTTAATTAACTCGTGTAATGATTGATAAATATGTTTATAGATTCATTCAATCTAGTAAAAATTAAATAACAAATGGTGAATAGGATTAAAATAGAAAAGCATTTTATTAGAACTAATGTATTTATTTCACCTCTCTCGACGGGATGAGGAACGGTAATCATGGTCGGGCAAATATCATAGCGTTGACGCAGAAGGGGAAGATTTTTGGTCATACAGTCACGATATTACAGAAATAATAAGAAATTTTGCAGTTTAGTATCGTAAGAACTTAAATGATGGGCATGCAACGCCAATTGTAGGTGTTTCTGAAAAAACACTGCTCATCAAGAACTTACGTACGGGAGAATGTGAGATTTGAGGAAAATCGTGTTTATTTTCATTAGAGGGTCAAGTGACCATATATATTTAACTTTAAATTAATCTGATCTATTAAATTAAATTTAAAGCAACAACAATAATAATAATTATTATTATTATTATGTGTTTTTATTATATATGTATATAGAGACAAGATCTTTTCATACTAATGTAAATCTAAATACTTTTACATTTAATTTGAACTTTTTATTTAACTTACATTTAACGAGTTATAATTTTTTACTTGCTAACCGTTAAATATAAATTAAATAAAAAATTTAAATTAAGTATAAGTTTTTAAATTTACACTAATATGAGAAAATCATTAATTTTCATATATATATATATATATATATATATTATATACTTGATTAGACTGGTTTAGTTCAACATAAAAAACCTTCAATACAACAAATTATTGCTTAAGGTAGTGTTTATTAGGAGTGACATAAGATATGTTAAGTATAGGAAATGAATAATAATAGTACTGTTCTACGGATTACAAGATAAGATTTAGACTTGCGTAACGATATGATATTCTATCTATAGTTCAAAACAAATGCAATTCAAAATAATAACATTATATCAGTGGAATTAATAGCAAACAAATAATCATGAAATTCCTCGATTATAGGATATTAGTTGGCTAGTCTAACATGCTCCACAAGATTGAGGTTACGTTGTGCAACACCAATCTTGGTTTGTAATTGTTAATGGTGAGCCTTTGATAGTGGCTTGGTGAGACAGTCTTCGAGTTGGATAGTTGTACAAGCATAATGAACGTTGAGTTTTTCTTGTTGAACGAAGTCTCACACAAAGTGAATGTCAATTTATATATACTTAGATTATCAAATAAAATTAATAGAGCTTGTGAGGGCATGATGCCTAAGTTATCTTGTAGAGAGTAGATCTATGATAGTTTTGTTGCAGAATTTGCGAGGGCTCTATATTCAACCTCTGTGGAAGATCTCACAGCAACTCTACTTGGAGGATTTCCAATAAATCAACTTGGAACCATAGTATACAAGTTTGACAGAGGTAAAGGCAGATGTGAAATCATCTTTGTTGCTAACCCAATCAAGATCGTTCATTGCATACAATGAGGGGGGAGGACTTTGGTTTTTGAAACTTTAAACCATCAAAGATAGTACCTTTAAAATATCGTAGAAGCCTTTTTAATGTTGTTATGTGTGTGGCAGTGGGGTGGGCGTTGCATAAATTAGGCTAGCTTGTTAACAAAAAAGGCAATATTAGGCCTTATCATGAACAAGCACCAGAAGTTGCCAATTGTACTCTTGTAGAAGGCGATGTCAGTGCTCGTAGAACCATCATCCTTGTACAAGGGTGTGCTGGTTGACATTGCAGTGAGGATAAGCTTGACTTCATTCATTTTGGTTCTTTCAACAAGGTTAATAATGTATTTATGTTGATTAAGGAGTTACTTATAATAATAATATTATTGGCATACACAAATGTGTATAGAATGAGGCTTCCAAATTTGAGAATTAACAGAGAGGAGTCCCAATTCTTGTTAACAAACCCATAGTTACATAAGAAGTTATGCAAAGTTTGGAACTAAGCCTGTAATATTTGTTTGAGATCATAAATGGACTTTTTTATTTGACAAATATGGTGAGACTTTTTAGAATGAACGAAGCCTAGAGGTTGTTGCATGTAGACCTCTTTGCATAAAGAACCATGCAAAAAGGCATTATTAATATCAAGTTGAAGAAGTGACCAATTATGTTTAATGCTAAGGAAATGATTAATCTTACCATTGTTGGTTTAACAATTAGATTGAATGTCTGAGTGTAATCTAACCTCAGTCACTGATGAAATCTCTTGACTACTAATTTGGCCTTGTACTTGTTAATGTCACTATTAGCTTTTTACTTGATGCTATATACCTATTTAAAGCCTATGGCATTTGTACTTAGAGGCCGAGGTACTGGGTCCCCTATACCTTAATGGATTAAAATATGTTCGATGGACAAGTGTATTCGTCAAAAAATAATGAAATTCTAAAATAAGTTTCCAAAATATCGTCTTACAATGATTGTTTCAATTGCTAAGAATTTCTTAATTTAATTGTTTGGGCTTAAAGAATGCAGAATTAAATAAAAGTAAGAATTTAACTATAAAATCAATTATAAAATTTAGAACAAGTAATATAATGCACGTCTTGGTTGAGTTTTATAGGAGAGGAACCTAAAGTATCTTAGTTTTCTCATTCAATCCTTTATGTTATTTTTTGGTTTAACTTTAAATCTGATTCCTTTGTGATTATCAATCATTCATAGAAATACTATTAATACCTAATGGTCATGAAATATTAATATTCTTTTCTCTAAACTAACATATACAATGGTCATGCAAGATATTAATTCAAGAAAGAATAGAATATCTATGAACTTGTTAATTTAATAATGATTGAAAGAGAAAGATTGTTTTGATTCACTTAATCCTTTGTTTTGTTTTATTTTATAGATTTATTAACTAATTGAGATATGGTCGCCTAACAATATAATTAATTAGGATTATATTACAAGTGGTTAGTTTACAACATACAATTATGCACAATTGGATACATTAATCATAGATAGAAAACAAACTTAGACTCAAATATCAAAATCCTATAAATTTGTGAACAATAATTCTTATAACCCTAGCTATGAACTTAGTTACTTATGATAAAGAAAAAAACTAAAACAATGATAAACACAACTATTATTAAAAAAGAAATAGCAAATTAGAATGTCCCCAAGGGTTGATGATGAGATGAATTTCTAGGCTTTATGTACAATTGCTTGAAACTTTGAGATCCACTAAGAATATGCCAAAGATATAGTTGGAAGCGATGTGAGAAAGATGAGATGGAAGATGTATTTAAAGATATAATCAAAGGTGACTTAGTCACTATTCTTGAGACTCCTTTAATAAGATTTAAAAACCTTAAAAGTTGGGATGACTACAGGTAAGCATGATCGGCAATAGTGCTCGAGGCACCCCATATTGGATGCTAGGGTTTGGGCGTGTTGACTTCTGCGAAACTCTATTTTTCAACCAATTTGAACAAAAAAAAGTCCAAAAATCCAACTGTGGTCTTTTTATGTTAAACTGCACAATATATATATGAATCAGTATAAAACCAAATTAAAATAAAGGCCACACATAAATATATGAGCTATAAAAATGTGCTAAAATATAGACTTATCAGTATCAAACTCCTTACTTATATCATCACGCTAGTCACTGGATTTAGAAGCTTGAGATACACATGTCGATTCCACTAAAAGGGATAAAAGATGTTTAGTGGTGATGAGGTTTTTCAAGTTGGACTTGCGTATCTAGTTCATGGCTCGTGTGACAGGTCATGCATAGGCAGGCAAAGGTGGTGTGAATACCAATTTTTGCATCTTTGGAATGGCCTCCAAATTTTTTTTCAGTTTATAAAAATAAAATAAAATTATTTTACAGAAAAATAGAAAATTTTGAAAAAAGAGAGAAATCGGATCATGAAAATGGAAGTCTTGCAACGTGCAGGTTTACATTGCAATTTCAAAACTGACTCCATACACAAGAAAGGAAAACTCAGAACTTTGGCATTTTGTAAAAAAAAAACCCTAAAACGTGAGATGGAAGGAGGTATAAAAGCTCAAGTAAGAAATTTGGAAAGGGGGCCTTTTCATAAACGAAAAAATTAAAAGAGCGGCAAAATCTTTTAAAAGGAAGAGAAAAAAAAGAAAGAACCAGAAAAGGAAGAAAGGAGACCACAATCATTTTTCGGAGAATGGGAGAAAATTTTTCAGAGGCACCTAGAAGATTCAGAAGTAAAAAGCATAACTATTTCAGGTATTGTCTTTTACCTTCAACTTTCTTGAAGTATTTGTGTAGAGATGAATGAAAGAACTATGAAAGAGTTGTAAAATGAACCATGAATATGAGAAAGGAGAGTTTGTGAGAATGACACCGTGAGTACTTGCAGCATTTGATTAAAATAAGGTTGTAAAAATGAAGTGGTTCTGGGTAGTTTTTTTTTTTTTTAACTTTATTATTTTATTATTTAAAATATATTTTAATAATATTACATTTCTTTTGATGGAATAATGACTTGAAAGACTGAACACTAGCAGCATATGCTATCTACTAAGCCATGTCCAGTCAAATCAACTTTTTTTTATTATTTATCTATTATTTCGTTAGCTTTTAATGGAAGGGGTTTCTTTCTTTCCTTCGTGCTGTTCCAATTCAATATACCAACAAAATCTACAATCCAATGCATTAGTTACATCTACGTGGTTTCTTTTTTATTATTTTGTTCAGTAACTTTCTTTATTTATTAATTGTTTGGTGAACGAAAATTTGTTTAGTTATTTTATTCTTGTTTTATATTTTATTTATCTTTTATTGTCTTAAGTAAAATATTTGATTTTACATCTTTATTTTTTATTTTGACTTAACTTCTCTTAATTACATTTTATTAATTTTATGTAATAATAATTGAAATAATAATGAGAGATTATTTAAATTAGGTTAAATGCAATATAATGCAACGCAATGTAATTTCCTTTTATTTTACTATACTTGAATTTTTTTTAATTGTAAAATTT